CTCCTTTTTTTCTTTTTGGCAAAAACCGGCTGTAATATTCGCGTGCTGAGTTTACAATTCCCCTACGACGGCAGCAGCAACGCCCAATTGATTGATTAGCTGTAAACACATTTATTACCCTCCTGCCAGCAGATTTTGTTGTTGTTGCCCCCCCCATCCCCGTTTTTCCAGGGAATGCGTGGTACTTAAGCCAACAGAGCTGCAAAGCAATTAATAGATTTGCGAGTGGCCCCGCGCACCACGCGCGCCGGCCTCCGGGCCTCCGGGCCTCGTGGCCTCCCTGCGCCCGCAGGTCCAGCGCCCCGAGCAGCCGCTGGTCCTGCAGATGAAGGAAGCCCGCAGCCGGGCGCCTTGGTGCCCCCGCCGCCAGGAGCGCCCTGTTAGTGAACAGTTGGGACTCAGCGGCTGGAAGAATTAATTAGGGACCTGCTGTTTTCTGGGCCGCACGATGCTCGCTTGGGTAGAGGCATCCAAACCTTTGCCGGCCGCGCTATTTTATTTTTACTACATTTTCTCAGGTTGTAAAAATAGTCGCCAGGCGGTTCTTTCGGAGAGTTTTCTAGCCAGGAGCGCATTCAAGGCCGGGCAGGCTCTATAACAGGTTTCTCTTTAAACAGCCAGAGGTGAGACGTGAAAATGTAGTGCGCTTGCTTCTCATTCATCTCCATCAAGAGCCCTTCAGCCAGACAGAGGGGCAGGGGCCGCCTTAATGCAGATTTACAACTCTGGCCTGGAGCGTGGGGCACGGGTGGGCTGGGGGCTTCTCCTGGGGAGGTGCTGAGCTACCATCCCCCTTTGGACAATGAGCACCCCTCTGCTTTGTCATTTTGGGCAGGAGTGTGTTTGTGTCTGGGTGGAGAATGGGGTTTCGTGGAAACATAGCTAACTCTTCAGGGTCCTTCTATGTGCAGTGGCTGAAGAGGATATCAGGTGAGTCAGGCTGAGGTTAGCACCCAGGCTGCTGCGGTTTGGGAACTTAGATGCAACCATAGGCATGATAACCAGAGTAATTAATAACACAGGCGCTTCTGCTGTGACTCATGGCAGTAACCTTTGCCCTATTGGCTAGTATTTTTGGCCGGGATCCCACAGGGACTGGACTCAAATTCTCCTGGTAATGTATCAAGTGTCTGGAGACACACCACATTACTGGAGTCATGTTTTTCACAATATAACATTCGTCTTAGTTATATCTGATTGGGCTTTTAAATAATTACCAGTAGCTTAAAATAGTAAAGCAATAACCATAATAGTGATCCATTTATAAACATACCCTTTAAAGGATGATTGCAAAATTTAGCCTCGACCGGAAAATCTAATATGACAAATCATTGTCACTTCTGTCAAAGTCTTCAACATCCCTAGTTTCTTAGACTTAAAAATTAAATTCAGTGTTTCAGAGTTCAGAGAGCTATTGGTCAGCACCTGGTACCTGTCGGCCCAGGTGTGGACCACGCTTTCCCTGTACCTGTACCACCATCTCACCTGCGCCTACAGGTACAATCTCATGTCTGCCATTCACAGCTGACATTTGGACTTGTCAGTCATGTATTTTTAAGCACCCATTAGATCTTGGCTCCTGGGGATATTTTAGAGAGTCTCCGACCCCAAGCAGGGGCACTTCTGCTGACCTAGCACCCCCATAAGTGAGGAGAAGATGCCTCACCTTTTTAATAACATGCCCAATCTCCAAATGTGCAACTCCAATATTAATAAAAATAACCCACTTTCCTCGGGAGACCTTGCTAATGCAGTCTCGATTTTTTGCACATTTTGCCGGAGAGCTTTTGTTCTTATACATCTTGATCCCCCCCTTTCTCTTTTTAATTTGTTGCAGGTGTTGTTGCTAATGAGCTCTCCTCCCCTCTTACAATGAAAGGCAAGCCAGACCCTGGGTACCTGGACGGATGGAGAGCTGAAGCCCCAGAAACTTCATAATAAGTTGCCGATGGCTACCAGCCAAGGTCAGCTGGCCCCCATTAGTGCCTGTCCCCACCAAAACAGAGCCAAATAAGCTTCTCCCCCGTTAACACCTCAGTAGCTTTTTATGTTTCGGTCCAGCCACACAATTGTTGTCACTTTAAGCCCATATGAAAAGAAATCTCTTTTATGGGTCTGAGATGCCAAGTCCAGTCCCAGAGAGGGAACATGTTTCCAGCTAACACGTCCACCTCCTGGTTTTATTCTGTCTTTACAACGCAGGCCACAGGCTTGTTTTGCAGTAGTGGTGAGCACATCACACACGAAGGGCCTTTTAAAGACCTGGATTGATTGGAAGGACAAAAATTAAAGGCAATGTGATCCGGCCCCATGCCAGATCCCTGTGGATTTCCTCCCTATCCCATTTCCACCCACTGTCACAATTTGAGAGTCTGCCTGATTTGATCAGATTCACCTCTGGGAGAGGTACAATGCCAAGGTCAGGAGGACGCCAAGTTACGGGCAACTTTTTGATCTGCCCATCAGCAGTCTGAGAAACGCTGGCTCTGAGTTTTCCGTCTCGGCCTCTTGGAAAAAACAAGTTCCTCGTCGTCTGCAACCCGGCAGTGCTCGAGTCCCTGGGACATCCAGCCTCCGTCGCCTGGTAGATGTGGCATTTCCATGCTGAGGCTGAGAGTCCCACCTCACCCCATCGCTGACTGTCCAGGGCCCCTCTGGGCCGTGCCCCTGCGGACTGCACAGCCATGCTGCACCTCCTGGCGCTTTTCCTGCACTGCCTCCCACTGGCCTCTGGGGACTATGACATCTGCAAATCCTGGGTGACATCAGACGAGGGCCCCACCTGGGAATTCTATGCCTGCCAGCCCAAGGTGATGCGCCTGAAGGACTATGTCAAGGTGAAGATGGAGCCCCCAGGCATCACATGCGGAGACCCCCCTGAGAGATTCTGCTCCCATGTAAGTCCACCACTGCTGTTCTCTTGGCTCAGGCCGGGTGGGAGGGGGTCTGGGACAGACCCTTGGGATGGGTGAGCCAAGTGGGAGGACCAAGATACAAGGTTTGACTCTCCTAGGTCTTGGATTGGGACCAAGTCACTGTCCCACCTTGGAAATGTGCCAAAGCAAAGGCCATCCTGAGGACTCTGGGGTCACATGACATCGTTCTCTGGGGTGGGGAAATTCTTGGCGCGCTGACCACTAGATCATTTCTTCTCAGGAAGGTCATAGTAGTCATAATTCCAGCCGTGCACATAAGCCCCGCCTCCATTGTAGGAAGTCAGCATTCTGGGCGAGTGAGCAAGGTACTATTTGCAATGCTACAGTCTGACCAGCCTCTGCCCATCCTTTCAGCCTCGAAGCCTCCTAGCCTACCCCATCCCATCCAGCAAACAGTTTTCCCAGGCTAGGGTATGCCGAGCACTGAGCTGGCACTTTGCAGGGGAAGGTCTGATGAACGTGCAGAGGGTATTCGCGAGGGAGGAGGAGGAAGTCAACTAGGATGGATCGTGTGGCTGGTGCCCTTTTCAATTCCATTCCTGTGAGCCACGGGGTACCTCAATTCTCGAGTAATGTCAACAACAACCACAGGAATACTAGCAGGGATCGTTTATGTGAGCTCCTTCAGTGAGTGGGTTAAGAGCTCGATCTGTGTCATCCCATGGAGTCCCCTTAGCTCACTCAGCAAGGTTGATTCTGTGTTGTATAAAGTAGGAGTTTCAGGGAGTGGGCCCTGGACCAGTGGCATCTCTGGGCCTCTGCTCCATCGTCTGTAAAATGGGCACCTAATAGGCTGCTGTAAGGAGTAAGTGAACTGATTCATATGTGTAAAGTGCTCAGAGTAGGGCCTGGCACAGAACAAGTGCCCCAGATGTTAGCTGTTGTCATTTCCATCGTACAGATGGAGAAACGGAGGCCCAAAGTCACACACCAGGAAGTGGTAAAGCTGTGATTCAATGTCTAGCTCCAAAGTCACTGAGGTAAACTGCCTGCTGAGAGGTGTCTTCCCTCTGGAGGCCCAGTGGCTGTCAGGAGGCTCGGCAGGGCAGCCAGACTGCAGGAGCTGATGGGAAGGTCTCAGTGTTGTCTCGGGGTGGCAGCTGCCTCTGTGTCCCTGGGGGAGCCTCTGGGTCTCTGGGTATCTGGCTGGACTGAACAGGTATCCCCACTGGGCCCCTGAGGGCACCTCAATCCATAGGACGCTTGAGTCCTATCACAGAGCGGTCAGCCCAGGAAGGTAGGTTCCCACTTGGATGGCCAGCTGACATGAGGCTGTCACTGTGGATTGTGGCTGGGCTAGGGAGAGAGGGCGGGACGGAAGGAGAAGGCCGCACAGGGCTGAGAGCCAGGGGCTGGATACTCCATGGGGATCGCAGCACTAGGGACCCCAAGACTTCCCTGGCTCAGGGATAGGCAAGGGGGTCAGCCCCTGAAGATCTAAGGCAAAGGCAAGGGCAAGCCAGCTCTGAGTCCGCATCTCCGTCAGGCTGCCCACCCCAGCTCATGTGAGGACTTCCCCACACACTCCCTGAGCAGAGTCAACCGCTGTCTCTCGTATTAGAGTCTTGACTATATTTCTTCTCTTAAATATTAATCATTGCCTTAATGTGCTGGGGGATGGGGCTGTGGGGCAGGGTAGCTAAATCATAATACAATGGACCAGCTTCCAGTCAAGGGCTGGCGGGGTGGAGATGACCACCAAACGCAAGTCCAAGGCCCTCTCCTGGCCGACGCTGGCTCAGGAAACCCTTGGCCTCAGACCTCCGCCCTGCCCCCACCCTTATACAGAGAACCCAGTGCAGCTGCCGGATGGGGTGGTCACCCCCATAGTCCTGATGCCACCCAGCCTGAGCCCAGGGAAGTGTCCTCGAGCCCTGGGCTCTGGAAGAGGCTTTTGCCGCCCCCCCCCCCGCCTTCTCCTCTCCTGGGAAGACAGGTGAAGAGGCAGGGGAAGAAGAGTATCTCTAATATCTCCCACACAGGTGGGTCCTCAGGGTCTCGACACCTGTCTGATGGAATTAAACATTTCATTATGGGCTGCCATCCGGCTCTGCCTTTGATTACAAATGTGCGGCTGACGAGGATGAGGGCACTGCCTTGACAGGTGGAGGGCAGCCTATCTTGGGGGGTGGGGCTGGCTTCTGTGGGGATGAAGGGGTCACATCCAGATAGATTCAAACCCCACGCCACCATCTATGGCAGTTTCACCTGAGCAGGTCCTGTGAGAGTCTCATTTAATCATCTCTAAGATGCTCTGAGGAGGGGACTGTTCTAATCCCATGTTAGGGATTAGAAGGTGTTGCCTAAATCCTGCCACTCGGCCTAGAAGGCAGTCTGGGAACTTACACATCGGGCAGCTTGGCCTCCCTGCTCTGGGCCTCGGTTTCTTCCTCTGTAAAGTAGAGAGAATGCTGTCACAGCGCTGATGGGAGAATGCAGCCAGGCCACGTGTGTTCTGGACACCGTGCTGACACACAGTAGGCGCTCAGTGTGCGGTGGCTGTTATTCGCTTATTATTGCGGTTATTACGCCCTCGGTGGGGTCCCTGCCTTTTCTTCTTTGCCTCTCTCCAGGCTTGAGGATGCCACGCCCTGTATTTCTAGTCTCGGGACAGCAGCAGACAGATGACAATTCGTGCTCAGGCAGCTTAAACTCCTCCAGCCACGGCAGGTGGTGTTAGCTGGCCACTAGGGGGCGCCATAATGGTAGCCGGGCGGCTCACACTGTCCCTTTAGCGTAGCAACTGCCTAGTGGGTCCCTATTCCGGGGCACCCCCCTCTTGCAATAGGTGATGGGCATCCCAACATTCAACCAACTGGAGCGTGAGCCCAGCAGCACCCTGAGGGTGCAAGAGGGGCTAAGGGGTGGCTGCCCTTTTCAGGGTTCATGGTGTAGACCCTGTCTCCCCCCCAGGCTTCTGTCCTTCAGCAAGGCCACCTGAGAATTGTAAATTCCATCCTGGTGAGGAAGGGGAGGGGAAGGAAGACCAAGATAAATGAATAAATAAAAACCTATTGGCTCTAAATGCACAATGAGAATTAATAGGGATGAGCTCTCAACCGAGGACTCTTGGGCAAGGGCAAAATTTCAGCTAGGGCTGCAGAAGGGAGGTGCCCCTCCACCCCTGGGTTCCTGGGACCTGCCCAGCGAGGGCCAGCCTGGTGAGGCTGCAGGGCCGCGGAGAAGGGGGGACAGGCAGTGCCTGGAAAGGCTTCTCAACCCATTGCAGGGCAACTGCCACTCCCAGGACTCCTTGTGATGGGGGGCACCGGTAGGCATAAGGCGCAGCCCCATCGTGCTCCAAAAGGGAGGTGGCAGCTGCCGTGAAAGAGAAGGGAAACCCTTTCCTGTGCCTCTGAGACAAAAGCTAGCTCTGGGGCTTCAGGAGAGAGATGGTGAGGAAGGAGAGAGAGAGAGAGAGAGAGAGAGAGAGAGAGAGAGAGAGAGAGAGAGAGAGCGCCAGCGCCAGCACCAGCACCTGCCACAGACCCGGCAGGTGGTGTTCGCAGCGATCCTACAGCTACCCACTTGCTACCCAAGTGTAGTAGTTGGACCAGGAGCACAGCCTCACCTTGTTAGGAATGCAGAGTGCCAGGCCCCGCCTCAGCCATGCTGGGCCAGATGCTGCGTCTTCACCAGACATCTGGGGGATTTGGATGCATGCAGGGTGTGGCCTGAAAACGCTGCTCCACCTAATGTCCAGTGGTGGTAGCCCCTATTGTTGATGTTCCCAGGGGACCTTTGTAGGTTAAAGGGGATTGGTGGCTGCTGAGGGAGAGAGACAGAGAGCAGGAGGCCTGCAGGGGTCCTGGACTGAGGGGATGGAGCTGGGGGCTGAGATGCTTGGCCACGCGGGGCAAGGTCCCAGGGAGAAGAGGCACAAGAGACGGGCAAGAGCCACAGGCCTGGGACCTGAAGCCCTGAGCTCGCACCCCAGCTTTGCTACTCCTCTCACGGGCTTGGTGACCTGGGCACGTCTTTAAACTCTCTGAGCCTCGGTTTCCCCATCTGTAATGGGGGGTGATGGTGGCTGCCTTGCCTACCCCGCCGCCTTCCTGGGAGAAGGGAATGCCTCGCTCATAATACTGCCTGTGCCGAGAGAGTAAGCTCCGTCCTCGTGTGACGCTTTGATACTCTCGATTATCTACTCCTGATAATTTTGCTTTGCCCACAGTGAAACAGATGAACGTTAAACGTTGTATCTAGGAGACTTTAGCTCACAGGTCCTGGGTCTTGGTAGACAGGAAAATCAAGAGAAAGCCGTGAAAGTGCATCTTTAAGCGCTCGTCTTCCTTCTCTGTGCCTCAGTTTACCCAGCTGCAGAGCAAATGGTCCCATCCCTTCTCCAGGGGGTCTGCCTGGCTGATCAATGCAAATGACAGGTGGACCCTGGATCCTCAAGCCCCTCCCCTCCATGACATTGACAGCTGCATGCAGAATCAAGGTCACAGATGCCCTACCTCCTGCTAGACTTCTATGTTCAGGAAATGTTTCCGTCCAGCTGCACTGAGCTGACCAGCCCCCAGGCTCAGGACCTCGCCTCCTCGCATTCTGGCCCCCAAACCCATAGAGGGCAGCACGAGGACACCTCTCCCAGCTTCCCTCCTTTTCCCATTATACCCCTCCAGCTGGCGGACACGCCAGGTCTGACCTCATGCCAGGCACAGTTGTGATGGGACAGTGAGGTAACTCTTGCAGATCCAAGTAGACAAGAGAAACACAACAGACGTTAAAGACGGTCCACGGCTATTGAGTGTGTGTGACAGAGACCTGACATGGCAGGAGCTCGAGAAGGCGAGGGCCTATCTCTCCCCGTTAGCTCTCAGTACCCCAGCTCACCCGACATTTCCCCTCCTTGCCTGGGTCCATGCTTTCTCCTCCACCCACAATGCCTTCCTTTGCTCTCTTCATTTCTAAAGCTTTCACGTTTACCTGGCTAACCACAGCTCATATTTCAAGGT